TTATAAATATATCAATTCATGTGAATATGACTGAAACATTTAATTTTTTCTGAAAAGGTGGTGTGTATTTACTCGTGACCACGCTGTGTATAATACTCTATATAGCATTTGTTGGTACATTACTGTTTGGAGAGAGAAGTCGAAAAATTTCAAATGTGAAATCATTTCTTTTATCATAAATATCAATATTACAATAATTATTAATTGGTATGTCTGCGGACTTACAACGCTAGAAACTGGGTTTCGATACTCGTGGTGGGTAGAGCACAGCTAGTCCTTTGTGTAGCTTTGTGTTTAATAACAAACAACATTATTAATTATTTTAATCTTTAAATCTAAATAATGTACTTCAGTATTTGATATAGAAGTATTCTCGATCTGTAGAACTGCAGGATAAATGTTACGAACATAATTAATTATTCCAGGATTATTATACTAATCAAATCATCAATATATCTGTATGTTAAAGAAAATATATCCGGAACTGTAAAATTATTTATAAATTTCTTTTGGTAATAATTAAAGTTTAAATTAGAAATATAGCTTGAATTAGATGGGCACTCAGTAGCTCGCATACCTCTGCCATGTAGCGTTGAACATATTAGGCCCTCAAAAAATACAAATATGTGTCCATCGTTACCAACAGACACGAACCATTTTCGGCAGCACGATGACAAATAATATTCTATATATTTCCACCAAGTTTCATCAAAATCCAATCATTTTGACTGAGTTAATAGTGCAAAAATAGTATGAAAAATCGGTCTTCCTGTTAACAGATAGAGATTTTATGGATTTTCGGGGCCTTGCTGTAACTATAACACTCCAAAAACTAATCACTTCTATGTTGGGTCATAGTTTAAATGAATATAAACTTTCGTCCAAATCCATTCAGTCGTTTTCGAGAAATCTTGCTGACAAACACACACACAAAAACAAACATACAGGGGTGAAAACATGACCTCCGTCCACCTTCGGTGTCGGAGGTAATTGTTATATAAGCAAAAACTTAATACGTTTTTAATATTATTAGCAGTAAAAGTTAGATTTTTTACTTTTATAGGTAGATCAATAAATTGATATATTAACTAATTTATCACCAATATCAAATAATTAAGTGGTATAGTTGTAAATAATGTAGTGAAATCGTATGTTTGAGTTTTATCTGCCAATTGTGTTATATTTAAACTTTCTATTGTTATTAAAACAAGTTCATTATATTTAGTTATTCGGAAATTATGCTTATTAATTATATTTTGTTTTACTTTAAGAAATATTGATTCAGTAATTTATTTATTAAACCTGCATGGTTGCTTCAGTACAGTTTTTACCGAACTAGAAATAAAAACAAAGCTAATGGCAGATTCATGTAATTTAAGTGATGCATATAGATACGGTAATTCTAAATATGGATTTGATTTAACATAAAAAATTCTCAGCTTTAAAGAAATTGTTAATAATATCTTCTTAAGACTTATTTTGTAATTTCAAAGTTTGTGTTGTATTTATCTCATTAGTTTCAATTTGTGCATAAAAAAACGTTTCCAGATAAAGCTAAAATTACAATCGATATGCACAATAAATATTTCTCTTGTTCTTTACGGATTTTAATTTTAAATTGAAAAAATATTAAATCTATTGAATATTTTTTTAAATTGATTAAAGCTAATTGTTCTTTAATTCTATTAATCATATAATATATCCATTGTAAAAACCAATTTGTAGGATAATGTGTAGGATAATTAAATTTTACAATATAATCATCTATGTTTTTCTTTATATCATTTAAAATGTCCATTTTTTACATTTTGTAGCTATTCTGTATTTAGCACATTTTCCCATGATATTCCGTAGAAATAATTATCCTTTATTGTATCCAAATTTCCAGTAATAATATGTTTATTAAAAGAATCTGTCAAAGCATTTGAGTAGCAATCATATGGTAAATTGTACACATTAGTTATATCTAAATTACTTTTAAAATCTTTATAATTAGATATAAATGGTCCTACTAGAATATCATACTTAAAACTGATAATGGATTTTTAATATTTTAAAATAAAAATATTTTGTATTACAGAATCAAGCAAAATTTTAGAAATTTACAAATCATTAGCAATTGCATGTTTGGAATTAATTACTATGTACGATGATTTTCTTATTGGTAATTCTTTAATTATATCATTAAAATTATTTACATTAAGTCTAAATTTATAATATTGCAAAATGAACGTTAGCGTGGTTATTTTCAAAATTAAATGTCACTACAGTTTTAGTTAATACTTTTAATTTTGTAATTTTTAGCTTATATATATTTTTTTGTAGAAATAACTACAAATGTTAGCACATATATAAACCTTACCCTCTAAATCCGTACAAGCTCTATAAAACTGTACAGTTTTATTCTATTTTTACATTTTCCCTTAAAATATATTTTTTAATTTTTTGTTAATACTATCTCAACAAAAGAAATTACCAATACAATTGTTATTACTTAAATTTACATCAGTTATATCATTATAATCTTGATTCAAACCATAACGATAAAAAAGTTTTGTATCTATTGTAGCAAAGGGATGAATCCTGAAGTCTTCTAATTCAGCCAATTTACAACATTATTTTTACTTTGAGATCTATGCGGATTCATGCAAATGTACTTGCTAATAAATAAATTACATTTCTTACTTTACAAAAGGAATAATTATATATAGTCGGGTGAAAATAATTAAGAGCTTTCTGAGGCATCTCTTACTATCACATTTTATGGCATTTGTAGTCAGTAGAAAAAAACCCATTAAATAGCTGGACAAGCTGAATATACTTGACACATGATGGATAATTATAATTAATAACCATAAGATAAATTAAAAATTAAAAATAAAATGATTAAGCATATACGTAAATTGATACACCAGCACACAATATTCGTTAATACTAATTATTTAGATAAGCTACAAAAAAAATTTATAAACTGATTACATCAAAAGGAAAGACATTTTACACAGCATATCCAAACCTTAGATGAAATATAGTTAAATTTAATTACATGGAGAATGAAAATAAAGAATAAATAAATAAGTAAAAAAATTAACGAAAAATATACTAGAAAAATAAAAACGCAGCCACAAAACAAACATCCGACACCGGGGCACAAATTATAAGGTGGGTCATTATGTAATGTGTCCTGGTTTTTGAGGTAACGGCGGAAATACTGCCCAAATTGCTTTGGAAGTACACCAACTCTCCAGTTTATCCTCTGCTTTGGTGGCCTCACATGCTTAGAAGGAAACACAAAAGGAGTAGATGTGGATGCTCTAGCCCACAACGTCACACACCTTTACCATATTTCGCTGTCTGCAGTCAGAAATAGTAAGAAAGATAAAAATTAGAATACTATACATACAGCCCCCAATATGATGTTTCGACATAAACACCATGATATTAAGGTGCTACTGTACTACATTTCGACTTTATTTGGAGTTACGTAGGTAGTATGATATCTCCGAAAACTGATCGCTTTTGGGAATGTTATGTAACAGCCCTTTCCGACGCAAAATATTCAATCAGATCATAAACATGTGTTCATATCAGGGATTTGTAATTTATTTATATTTAATGGTGCTGGAAAACAAAATATTTTGGATAAATTTAACTCACCAACACCATTCAGAAAGATACCAACAACAGATCGTACTCCCACTGTCTTGTAACACGTGAGTTGTTTGTTTGTTATGGATTTCGCGCAAATTTGCGCTAGCCGTCCCTAATTTAGTAGTATAAGACTACAGGGAAGTCATCACCACCCACAGCCAACTCTTGGGCTACTCTTTTACCAACGAGTAGTGGGATTGACCGTTACCTTATAACGCCCCCACGGCTGAAAGGGCGCGCATGTTTGGTATGACTTGGATTCGAACCCGCGACCGTCAGATTGCGAGTCGAGCGCCCTAACCACCTGGCCATGCCGGGCCTAACAAAAATGCAATTAGTCTGTTTACACAAAACATGTACAAACCAGAAGTTTTATTTTTCTTATTTTACTACAGATTACTTTGATGTACGATTTATGTAATCGGGATAGGATTTTAGCAAGTAAGACATGAGCTAAGACACGTGACAATTAATATTTTATTATGCTCAAACACGGTTTGTGAAAAATCTCAAATACTTAAAAGAAAAGTGGATCAGGAGCGGCCTAGTAGTTGATAGGTTGGCCTGCGGATCGAAAGGCCTGAACGTGATGCAACTTAACATGATCCGCTCTTTCAGCTTTTGACGCGTTAGATATAAATGACAGTGAATTCCATTATCCGGCGAAAACCGGGAAAAGTCCTTGTGGCAGTGGGTAATACCAACTGGCTACCTTCCCTTAGATCAAATGTTCAAAATTAGGAACGGTTGTACTTGAGCCCAAAAGATCTCTGACCTGGTCATTTAGCTCATTGTATATCAGGGCCATTCAGGTTGAAAATTCTAATTCTTGAATCAAATTATCAAATTTCTGAACACACTGTAAGACAGTTAGTGTCCCAGTCTTTACATAATCAAGTTTTGTTACTAGTGTTGACTGGCTGAGTAAAAAAAATATAATAAATAACAATTATTAACTTAATACAACTCTTATTACTTCTTCCTTTTTAAAGCGACTTTGAAATCTGAAACATAACCAAGCTTTAGGGGCATTTGCCTTTATGCTTGAACCTGAACACTAAGCAAAGATTCGCGGAAACTGGCTAATCAACATAATATAAAATTAAGATTAACATAAATACATAAAAATAGGATTCACAACATTACAGTTGGTGAGAGCTTGACTTCGAATATTATCACACTACAAATGTCCAATGAAGTAATGCAATTAAAAAATATATACTTTACTTGAAAAGCTAGTAAAACATTTACTTCCTCTTTTAAAAACAACAAAATCTCTACTTACACTCTAACTAAAAACAACTGTAAAACAGCAAAATTTTTTTTAGTTAGAGTGTAAGTAGAAATTTTGCTGTTTTACAGTTTTTTTAGTTAGAGTGTAAGTAGATTGTAAAACAGCAAAATCTCTACTTACACTCTAACTAAAAAAACTGTAAAACATCAAAATTTCTACTTACACTCTAACTAAAAAAAATTGTAAAACAGCAAAATCTCTACTTACACTCTAACTAAAAAAATTTAAACCTTAATTTTTTTATGAAATAGATTGTTAACAACTAATATTAAGCAATTATTAACTGATTACGAGGGCAACAAATGATCTTTGCCTTCATAACCAATCAATACTTGTTTTATTCTATTTCCATTCCATTTTCAGTTTTACTAAAATTGAGTAATTGACGCTGTCCCATATGGCATAGTATATTTGGCTTACATCCCCGGGCCTATACGTAAATATGTCATTTAAAAATCAATAATAAATTAATAAGATTTATCTGTATTATTATTGTTGTTGTAATTAAACATGTTTCAATGTCTCAACATATGCAGTTTCAACTCGTAGGCCTGTTCTTCTATGCGTGTCACTATTGGTAACGTGGTTATGAAGGGCACAGGCCCGTTTTGTAGATTATTATAATAATTATATGAGAAATAATTAATTTATTCAAGAATTGGGCCACATTAGTACAACAAATTTATCAATGAATATCAAAAACGATTGTACCTTCACGAGTATACAAATTACAATAAAGTACGCAGCTGTCTAACTTCAGCATAAAATTTGCCTATAATGCTGATGAGAATTCAGATATTGTTACTCACAGTCAACCTCCGTGTACTGAAGTATTTTCCGAATACTTTTACAGTTCCTTTGAACGTTTTTTATTTTTTATTTTTTTAGTACTCTCATTATCCTTTTCTGCAAGAAGACTACAGTTATTTATCTGTCAGGAACTGAAATGTACGCCTTATGTAGGCTTGACAACCTCCAGGATTCACCGGGAGTCTCTCGGAATTGCATATGTTCTCCCGGCTCCCGAAATTTTTGCCAAATCTCCCTGATTCTCAATATATATATATAACCGAACAAAGTTTCTTCAACTTTTTGCTGCTTGTAAATAAAAAACACTTTAGTGTCACTCAGCGAACGTGAAACTCACGTTACCGCAAGTCAAACAAAAAACGCGGCTAGGCTAATTAATGAATGAATATTTGCTGTAAAATTCTTATCAGTGCTATAAGTGTATCTAACAGTTTGGCCGTCAATTTTGATTTCATTCCTTTTTTTTTGGCCGCACCTTTTTTCACACCTGAGGTGTTTTTGATTAGATAAGTTTTAACGATAAAGAAGGGTTTTAATATTTCAATCGACATTCAACAATCTAACAATGTATTTAAATTGTAAAATTAATAGTGGTTACTTATGCATATGCATATCAATCTCCGTGAATTGACATATTATATATTTATAGTTGAACAGAAAAACAAACAAAAAGTGAATGAATATGAAAATGTGGAAATGTTGTGCGAAATATGTGTCAGGGTATTTGTTGATTGTGGGATTTTTCAGTTTTATTAATAAGTATTTTCTTATTTTTCTTCTGTTAATGTTTTAGTACGGTGATATCCTTTTCATAAAAACTGTGGTTGTTTTTTTTTTCTATGTTCACGGACTTGAAAAGGGGATTTTGGTGTTCTTTTAATCTGATGTTCAAGTTACATTCTGTTTCACCTATGAAAAAGGCTGGGCAACTGTTACACTTTATCTTGTAAATGTTTCCTGGTGTGGTAAGTTCGTTATGTAATTTTCTTAACGTGTGTAATGATGTGTTTAGTTTTAATTCCAGGGGTGAAAACAAATCTAGCCATTATGTTAAGGTTATATTTATGAGCTAGTCTTTTCCAAATTTCTGATAGCGGTATGCTAATATTTTCTGTTTATGGGATAGTGCAACTGATTAGGTTTCATTTGTTTTGAGGAGATGATTTAGTTAGTTTGTTTATTAAATGTGTTTTGTATGCATTTTTTAAATTCATTAATAGTTTTTGTAAAACCATTGAGTTAAGTTTGCAACTTCTTCACTTCTTCAATATTGTGTATTCTAGCTTTTTAGAGAGCTTGATTGTCATGTTGAAACATGTCCTATAGCTTGACCATTGCACTAAACAAAATGTACCATAGCCTTATCGTCATGTGAAAACGTCTCATAGCACGATCAACACATCAAAATTAGGCTATAGCCTGATTGTCATGTTAAAACATATCCTTTAGCATGACCATCACACTAAAGGTATGCCACAGCCTGATCATCGTGTTAAAAAAGTACCTATAGCACCATATTAGAAATGTATGGTCAGTCTTTATGCCAAGTTACCAATGGGATGCATTTTTCTAACTCATAACCACATATGGCGTTAAGAATATACAAACTGGTTAAACAGCATGTAGGCGAATATCTTCTTCATAAACTAATCACGCTTCACTCTAAAGCCACATACGAGATATTTACAGGTTTGGAGAGTAGTTGGGACCTGATTCATCTCCAAGCAGTATTAGCGAACTGAAAGCGACTCTGACGAAGCAGTAGGCCATTTGATCTAGCAGCTCAGATCCTGATTCATCTCCAATCAGTGCTGTTTAACTAGAAGCAACTCTGATAAAGAAGTGGGTCATATTACTTTAGCAGTTCCTGATTCACTTCCAAGCACTGTTTGTGAACTTCAAGCAACTCGGATGAAGCAATGGGTCATATTACTTTAGCGGCTAATTGATTCACTCATATTAAGCATGCCACGTGAACGTAAAACTTGACTTATTATTAGAAAATGATTTCTTATTATTTATGGGCTTGACATGGTTGGTGGTTAGGACACTCGACTCTCAATCTGAGGGGCATAGGATCGAAACCAAATGCCGAATATGCTCGTTATGTCGTGGTAGTATTATAATTTGACGGTCAATCCACTATTCATTGGTAAAAGAGTAGTCATAGAATTGGCAGCAGGCATTGCCAACAGGTTGTATTCCTTCTCGTCGGCAATTACAAATAACGACAGCGGCAGAAAACCTTAGTAGCTTTGCTATGAAGAAAACCAACAAACTTATTATTTATTGGACTGCAAAGGTTATAGTACCCAACGAGCATTTGTGAGCATGCAACTCAATAGTAAACATTTGTATATCAGATCACACGACTGGTCATCTGACAATTGTTTTACATAAAGGTGAACTCAGAGGAGCTATTAATTAAAAACAATAATTTGGCCTTGTTTTAGATAAATATGGAAAACTTCGATTATTCCTTAATGACTCTGAGCAGTGTATTTTAAAATACATCAACACAACAGCCAATATGTTTAAACTGTATATACCATCAAGAAGTGTTTTTTAAAAGAAATACACGTAATTGATAGTTTGAACATTTTTTTCTTGATTGTGTTAATTATTAAGAACGAAAACTAGGTTTAAACTAAATTGACCAATCTACATTATAACAAAAGACAAGGTTACACTAACAGATTAAGAAGCAGAATATCATAAAATTAGCAACATTACAGCATGGTTGTAAACATCTGTGTACATAAAAAATATGACACAAGTTCATTCTATATGACGGGCATAAATCACGCTTAGACCAGATCCAGAATAAGTTCACATTCATGTATATTTTTACACATTATCACGATATCTCTTTGCTTCTCTGGTATTTATTTCAAAACTTTTTCTTCACTCCGCTTATAGTTTGTTTCATTTGCTAGATGCATAGTGCAAGAGGACATCTTTGCTATTTAATATCCCTTATCATTTGAAAAAAACAGCTTTTGTTTGTTTGTTAAATTTCACATAAAATTACTGCGAGGGCTTATGCACTAGCTGTATTTAATTTAGAACTGATAGACTAGAAGGAAAGCAGATAGTCAACAGCTCCAACCACCAATTTTTGGGCTACTCTATACTCAGCGATAAATGGGATTGATCGTCACCTTATAATGCCCTAACCACAAGGCCATAACAGGCCAAGAGAAAGACCTGTGAACATCTTTACCATGACATAAAAACCACGCCCAGTCATCTTATATTAGCATTAACAATGTGCAATATCTCGATGTAAACATAAAAAACACTATATATGTTTTTTGCAATATCTTGACATCAAATGTTATGATAATCCTTCCCTAATGAATAAGTTGTGTTATTTAAAAATAACTGATAGATTTGAAGAGGCAAAATGAAATAATGTGTAATCTTTGTTCTGATTTATTCAGTACTGGAAATAATTATGAAGATTGAATAAAATTAGTATAAAAGTAATATTATGAGACTGCTCCTCCTATGTTAGTAGTTAGCTCCCGACTCTAGCAAACACACCTCCAAACTTCTTGTGAAATACATTTCTAAGTTCTAATCTTTTCATAGCTTCTTTCATACAATGTTCTGTAGGACACTTACTGTTGCGCTTTCCCAAGTAAAACATAAATATTATTTGAATAAGGTAGTTATTATAACCAATAATTTACTTTTATCGTCCTACAACTAAATATAATAAATGAATGACTTACTGTTTAACTTTAGAAATATTTAAAATACCAAACTACACATAACTTTCAGACTGTCTAACGCTAAGAGACTATTCGGAAATCTGATGACTGATGTCAACACAAGTGTTTGTTAGGAGGGTGTTACGTGGTTACACCTACGGTGTGGGACTGTGAGATTTTTACCAGTCGATGATAGGTTTGACCTTTGTTCATTAGTCACATTGGAAAAAAATATATTACGTGACTCAGTGTTCTCTAATCTGAATAACGCTTTCATCTCTTGATTTCTATTTTAGTATCTTTCATTTAAACTCAGTTTTTCAAATGCATATAAGGACCTTAAATTATAAATCAAGTGATTATTTTAAAGTTTCTGGTAACATGAATTATACAAATCAGTTGTTGTCTTAACCTAATATACTTATCCTACATACTTAACAAAACATCAATTACTATAATCATGATATATTTATATTATATTTGATAATGAAAATCACCTCTACATGAGGTTAATATGCAATTTACAAATCGCTATATGTATTCAGTTACACTGCAATTTTCTGTAATTAACAATTATAATACAATATATTTATCTATCTATAAACAATATATTTAATAATCAACCCTACATATAGTTAATGTACACCATACATTAATTGCGTTACTGACATTTAAAAGTCAGCAAACATAACACTTTGCATTGCGTCACAAAACAGTAAATTTTTATTTTATTACTCAGTTAACATACAATTATTACATACTTTACCCGAAATACTGTCAGAATGTTTCAGTCAGCTTAGAATAATTTGTTTAAATGAAAGTTCTATTCAGTTTTAATTTATGATATTTACATAAACATGTCAAATACATGAGATTTCGTTATACTCTAATGTCTAATTACTATTACAAATATCTCATGATGTTATGAAGCATAATTGGTAATACCTGTGGTATATATCTGCCCTAGTGTATTAGTCACCATAAATGAAACATAAGCACTGTCCAAACTATAAAACATATCATGCACTTGAAATCCGTAATTTAATTGACTGTCCCCTTCAGCTAAAACTGACATATTTCACCCCAATATACTATCTTCAATATGTGTAAGTAAATGAGATATTTCACCCCAATATACTATCTTCAATATGTGTAAGTAAATGACATATTTCACCCCAATATACTATCTTCAATATGTGTAAGTAAATGACATATTTCACCCCAATATACTATCTTCAATATGTGTAAGTAAATGACATATTTCACCCCAATATACTGTCTTCAATATGTGTAAGTAAATGACATATTTCACCCCAATATACTATCTTCAATATGTGTAAGTAAATGACATATTTCACCCCAATATACTATCTTCAATATGTGTAAGTAAATGACATATTTCACCCCAAAATACTATCTTCAATATGTGTAAGTAAATGACATATTTCAACCCAATATACCATCTTCAATATGTGTAAGTAAATGACATATTTCACCCCAATATACTATCTTCAATATGTGTAAGTAAATGACATATTTCACCCCAATATACTATCTTCAATATGTGTAAGTAAA